GGCGCAGCCTAAAAGCTGAGCTGAACATCGTTTTGAACAATATTCTGGGCTACTTGTGATATGCATATATGTTATATATAAACTCTATTTTAGTAAAATGTGACAGACTGCCTTTGATACGACCTAGATGAAATAATATCTAATTTATTATACTTTGTCATTTATCCAAAACGATGAATTCAATTCATACCTTATCGATTGCAGTAGTCGTAGTACCGAAACCTCATATACTTCGTAATTTTAATAAAAAGTATAAGCAACAGCTGTTGTATGGCTTGATATGTTCAAGGCAAAGAGCTCCATTGATTGCTTAATTTAATTTATTCGTTTCAATTTTGTGTCAACTGATTTAAAGTAGCATTATTACCGTGCTTAATATTAATTCAGTGCTTAGTACTGAACTGTTCGCCACAGAGTCCTACTACTGTTTCTGCTCGTTTTGCACTAATGATTGACACTGTGCTGTAGTCGTTAAATATCATCATTTGTGTCATGAACTATTTCAATGGAAGGCCTTCTGTTTTCAAGACTTTAATTCATAAGCTTTTGTAATGTTTTTAAGCTTTATAATAGGTCAATTGATGGTCACAAATTTCACGGACAGGGTTATATTTCTAAGTTCAAACAAAGGAAAAACATCGTCACTCTATCGAGGTTGGTTCCAATTACAATATCATAATGTCCTCTTGTCATATACTTGATCTGCATTTCGATTCCATCAGTAAGGAGTGTCTTGTTTCCCTGCTGGCAATACCTAGGTCACAGCCATAACTTGCAGTCTGTTTCATTCTAACGAAATGGCATGCTTAGAGAAGGTCTCTTTGATATTAGCTCGACGGATACAAAATTAGTCCCGAAAGTTCCCACAAACATCAAAACAACACGTGCAATTTCACAGTGATCGATTTCTCTCCATGTGATTAAATCGCTGCAAGATTTCTTCAACAACTTACACGTCAGCCTAACGTTTCCGCAGAGGGTCAATAAATGTAACGATTTGAATTTCGCGCCGTACCAACGGTTCTTTGGATCAAGCTTGCCTTGTCTGACTGTATTCAAGCATCGTCACGAAACATATCTGACCTTTTATTAGTTAGCTTCCTTGCCCTAACCACCGTGTCTTTATCACAATCAATCAATCAATGACATCATGCGTAAGGTCATAGTCAGTAAAGCCTCTACGGTCAAACAACTTGAAAACAGGAAGTGAAGTTGTCATGTAAGACATACACGGCTTTGAACTAGTAATACCATCGGCCAGTTGTGACATACTGATTAAGATGTCAGTCATGAAGTTGACCAACGCTGTTTTGTGTCCACCGACCGAACCCCTCCGTGTACTAGTAGATGAACGGATGCATATTACTGATACCGAAAACATGGTTCATCAGAGGTGCAACTTGTGTCGGCCACGAAAGAAAACGAAATGAAATGCTGGCCATCAGACAGAGGTCTCCGTCCTACCCCCCCCCACCCACCGGTAGGTTGAGCGATGAACAACCATTGACTAAGCATACTTACTTGCACGTTCTGATGAAGCCGTTTATCTGGCAACGACCACCATGGAGACACCATCCGGAATAACAGTCGACATCATCTAAGTTCGGTATCAGATTTACAGACGAAAATGGTTACTCAGAAGTAACGATTACCGACGATGGTAGGTACGGTGAACGGGATGGAAAAGGTCAGCAGAAACGTGACACGGAAGCGTTCCATAACACTGCCTGGCGTTGGCGTTTCACCACGTCGTCCCTGCACCACTCGCCATCGCATATGGAAGAGCACTTACACAATACTACGGCCAGCCTGCATCGAAAGGTTACCATCTCACCACATGATCGATAGGCTTGGCTAGGGTTGAAAGTTGAAATGTTTCCCACGATCACCAACAACACTGGCCACCGACCGACGCAACAACAAATGCTCTGACATCGGCATCGCTGTAGTGGTCGAAAGCTAGCGCATCACGACACGCTGGAACACTGCAACGATTCCGTACTCCGATCCAACGGGAAAACGCTGGTTTCTCACCGACCGATCGACTACTCGGTACTTCATGTTGGAAGGTGCTGAGTGCACTCCTACGTGACTCACGCATGTATTTATTGTGAAACAATATTCGCTTTGTTCAGAGAAAGAAATCATTGTTCGTTATCTGACTGATATATGACTGATGATACGTGATGACTCGGTTTCGCTTCTCTGACTGGTCAAGTCAAATGCTACATTAAATACAACAGCATTAATAAATAAGGCCAATGCACTATGAGTTCCATTTCTCTAGAAAAGTATGGTTGTGCGCCTGTATATCAGGAGAATTTCATGATACTTCAAACAGATCATTTCTATCTGACAAAGGATCCGGTCTAAAATGTTCATTGATGACCTCCCGTTCTGTTTTGCGAAATCCTGCTTCCACTACCTCAATGTTAAATGAGGGTGACAACGGATTTTCATGGCGACGTACAGCTACGCGTTTAGGCTATGAAAAATTCAAACATGCTACGAAAGCTTGAGAAATATACCCATCTAAGTACAAGAGGCAACATTCACCAACCCCAAACACTCCGGCCAGCTTGGTCAGTTATGATCAGATCCTCCATGATGAAATCATGGCCATAGCTCCAGGGAAGATGGATCACCACCGGCATAGCCAGCAGCAGCTAGTGAGACATGAAAGCCAATGATGCTAAAAATTCTGGGTTACGAGTCGGAGCTGCTACGGTTTACCAACTGCAGATAACTTCTGGATGAAGCAAAGTTTCAAAAGTTCGAAGAAAAACTTTAGAAAATCAAGTTTAACATTGCAGGATACACCGGAGTGAGAAGAAAGGAGGTAGCATTGTTAGAACTTAAACGCGAACATATACCGTTCCATAGAGGACTGGCAAACGGAAGTATAAATGGTGTAGTGCTCATCATCTACAGAAGATCAAAGAGTGATAAAATACAAGTGGAAGTACGTTGGATAGGTGTGCAAGAATTGTCGTCAGAGTTTTAGAGAGATTCGAACGACAAATGACCCAAGCATATGCGTAGACATGAAGCGATCTTGATGAAAAAACTGAAGGTTCATGGACAAATAGAATAAACGCATGAATAGGCAAACAGTAGTTAGAAATTCATCGTTAGTAAATTAAATCTTAAAGCCGGGCCGCAGCAAAATAACGAACTGCGGTATGGGCCTATTTGCTTATGAGGAAAGCAATGACTGGAGGATTACGAACAGGTGGAGTTTTTTGAAAAGAACAAGTTATTTATTAGGAACACATTTTGTTGAAAAAACAAATAGGGCTTTCTTAGACGAGTCGCTGGCCTTATGCTCTCGACACGGTCCGGAATACTGACATCTGGGAGAGCCTTTGCTTCTCCAGATTGAGAAGTCACAGCTGCGATGGTTTGGGCATGTGTTGCAAATGCCTCCAGAAAGGAAGGCTAAGCAACTGTTTCATGCAAATCTGACCGGCAGAAGGCCCAGGAGACGGCCAAGACCTGATGCAAATAAAAGGAAGGAGTCTATGCCAGACTCCAGTTGTCTTTTGCCAAAGCTCAGACTCTGGCGTAAGATTGGGAAGCTGTCTGACGCGTCTGCCTCCGCGGCCCGAAAGGAGAAGCGGCGATGGAAGATGAATATTAAAAACAAATATAGAATAAACATGGAAAATCCGAAACAATGTCAAGAACAAAATCGAGTTCATCTTTAACAACATAAAAACTGCAGTGCTGAAAGTCCCAGTGGTGACCTCAGACTCATCAAATGCAAAGTGTGCTTTGACTCTCCTTCAGGAAGAACGTAATTTCTGAACATCAAATGTCAGATATCGGAAGAAGAAACAGTAAAAAACAATCTCAACTGAAATCAAACAACAAATTCGAAATTCTTCAAGGAACGTAAGAAGAAAGATAGGATTATGATTATTATGTGTTTTGATTGACAGCAGAATCAGGCCATTTCTGAGGTTTTTTACCCAGTATTTCGTAATCCCTCGATTTGATCCAGGGGCGTTCCATCCCACAGTTCCTTTAATTTGGTTACGAATTATGTGTAAAGCCTTCGATTTTCTGTTCATTTTCGTAGTTCATATCTGTCAATGAATAAGTTTTTTAATTCCTGATGTTAAACGAGTACAGGGCAGAGGTTTGGAAAATGTGACGAAGCTTCGGCTAGGTGAGAGGAAGTCCTCTATTACTCAGATAAACGTGTCATAAATTTTTTTCTCTGTCTGTATGCACCCTGTGTCTCAAAATCTGTTATGTTATTTCATGTAATATTCGTCACATTTTGTTAAATACTCAGTGTTCCTTTTACCCCGCTTTTCTACCACTGATCAAAAATTACCAATATGACATGTAGAGAAGTGTAGGTAATTTTTGCAAGTCACAAGTAAAGCGCTGTGCAGAGTTCGAAAGCAAATCAATCTCGTCTTTCTACTACTTTACTGCCTAAATGAATTGAAAAACGCACGTTTTACTACAACACGTATAAAAAACTAAAACTCTAGCAATCTCGTAACTTCACGAAGGATGTTGCTGAAGCGCAGGCCAACACGGCCGTAGTGAGTCGATCATACGACTGGCCATATTTTTACATTGCATATTAATAAACCGCGTTTTACGCTGTTTCTCAGTATAAAACACAAACAGTCTATCTGAATTAACATGAAATTACTGTTAACTCTAGTCACATTACAGTTACCCTAGGTGTTGCTTTATAAACTTACAAAAGATGAGCTGCATTTTCAGAAAATTGAGAAATGCAGAATTGATATGCTGATAGGCACAACACGAGGCGATGCTGAGGCTGAGCACACCTCCGTTAATGGTCGCATAAATACAGGAAAAGGCAACTATATAAGGTATTTTCGGAACAAGGGATGCGAAGGAGCAGGTGAACAGAAAAAGCAGTAGTGATGAAAGAACAGAGAAATAAATACAGCAACAAATCGAATACGTGCAACTTTAAATAGACATTCAACAGAAAACGTCTGAGCATTCAACTGCAGATCTGAAATGGAAACTATTGAAAATAATATGGAAAATGAATGGAAAATGGAAAATAATAGAAGAATGAAGAAACTGAGTCAAAGATTGAAGGTTAGGTAGGAAACGCGACAAAGTTTAGCTCGCAAAGCATCAGACGGGACTGCAATCGCAGACAGACAACAGGTTTTAAAGCAAGTGATAGATTTCTATAGAAAACTGTACAAAGATAAATACAGTGACACCCGAAGGACGAACGACGACGTGAAGTACGACACAGACGACGTTGTCAGAAGTTAGTCATGCAAAAAAACAGTCAAAGTGCAAATATTGTAAGACTGATGGAAGAGCTACTGAAACGAATTATTGAACAGGAACACTGCGCCAC